ATACTGCCTCCCCTCCCCCTTCTTCAATCACTGCATTCAAGTTGCCGAAAAAAAAGACTCTATGGGGAGAAAAGTATATAAAAATATATACTTACCTTACCCTCGGCTTCCTCACAAGGGTCATGTGAAGATCCTGAGACTTCCGAGATTACAAATCTCACGAGAAGAACCTCCAGCTGTCCATCCAGAGCCTCTGGTTTATAGACCGGATACGTCCTAAATATAGAACCATTTATCCAACTGTCCAATCAGAGCCTCTGGTTTATAGACTGGATACATCCTAAATATAGAACCATTTATCCAACTGTCCATCCAGAGCCTCTGGTTTATAGACCGGATACATCCTAAATATAGAACCATTTATCCAACTGTCCATCCAGAGCCTCTGGTTTATAGACCGGATACATCCTAAATATAGAGCCATTTATCCAACTGTCCATCCAGAACCTCTGGTTTATACACCGGGTACGTCCTAAATATAGAACCATTTATCCAACTGTCCATCCAGAGCCTCTGGTTTATAGACCGGATACGTCCTAAATATAGAACCATTTATCCAACTGTCCAATCAGAGCCTCTGGTTTATAGACCGGATACATCCTAAATATAGAACATTTATCCAACTGTCCAATCAGAGCCTCTGGTTTATAGACCGGATACGTCCTAAATATAGAACCATTTGTCCAACTGTACACCCAGAGCCTCTGGTTTATAGACCAGATATATACTAAATATAGAGCCATTTATCCAACTGTCCATCCAGAGCCTCTGGTTTATAGACTGGACACATCCTAAATATAGAGCCATTTATCCAACTGTCCAATCAGAGCCTCTGGTTTATAGACCGGATACGTCCTAAATATAGAGCCATTTATCCAACTGTCCATCCAGAGCCTCTGGTTTATAGACCGGATACATCCTAAATATAGAGCCATTTGTCCAACTGTACATCCAGAGCTTCTGGTTTATAGACCAGTTCCTGAAAAATGAAAAGGTGAATCATCTCCAAATCTCCTGGCTGCCCATAGCAAGGCCTTGATGCTCCATGCTGCTGGTCTAGTGGTCCATACACTACAAAACACAGCCTTGGATCGAGTGTCCCTTCTAGTGCTCACAATGGCAAGGCATTGGTTGGTGAAGCCAAGTGACCATGCTGACCAATGAGAAGTGCATCTGAGACTTCTTCCAGTAAGGTGTCCCAGAAGATAGAAGTGCATCTCTGTGGTCACTTAGTCATGCTGACCCATGAGAGCTTGCCAGTGCGAACATGATCTTGAATACTCATTCTGGGCCTGAACTGGTGGGGGGGGGCCCAGGGTTGAGAATGCACATCTATGCAGTCCACTGAGAGCACCAAACAATCGTCCAAGAGTCCCAAGGTTTTTATTGATACAATTGCTTCATTGCAGAAAAAAGCCAACACGTTTTTGAGGCCAAAAGACTACCCCCCTTCATCAGGGCTCAGGAATTTTGACTGTACTTAAAGAGTGACTCCACTTTTGTTGAGATCAAAACAATCCCCTTTGTGAGATGAATGTACATTGCAGAGATTCTAACAATCTTCATATCATATTCCTACCTTTTTATTTCTGTTTGAGTCACCGTGTCCTTTGCAGACTAATTCTGAATGGGGGGGTCTGGCTCAATATAACCTGTTGGTGCCCTGTCAGTGTCTCGGCATTACTGTGGGTGGTCTGTATACAAATACAGCCTGCCTGGGAACACTTCCAGACTGACACCCACCCATCAAGGCATTTTTATATTTGCATATAAAAAGTTATATTCGTTTTTCCAGAGGTGAGTGGGGGAGGGAGCGCTAAGATGCGTCTACACTGTGTGCATTTGGAGATGGACCATCAGCAATGGGGGTTAGTAGGAGGTCCATGTGGAGGTGGTGTCCATGCCCATCTGTAGTGGGGGGCTTGTAGTAGTATGGACGTCTCCGAGGAGGCAGTCGGCTGTAAGAGCTTGTAGATCCTCCTAATGCAGATAGAGAAGAGAGACGGCAGCGCCACTCTAAGTGTAGATGGTTAAAATCATGCAGATTTACTGGTAAAATGGCAATCATATAGGTAGGTAACAGGTAGGCATGCCAAGTAATGGGGGTCCAGTGGGAGCATCAGGTCCTTTGGCTGCACTCTGGGTGTTTTCCTGCTGCTCTGGTAGTGTCCAGGGCTTGGGAAGTAGCAGAGGGGCGCAGGGAGGCTCACAATGATGATGTCACCGCATGGACTGGGTTTCCAAGATGGCATGTGTTCGGAGCATGCTCACTCCTTCGTCAGGCCTTGTGCATGCTCTGAACGTGCGCCATCTTGGAAACCCAGTCCATGCGGTGACATCATCACTGTGAGCCTCCCTGCGCCCCTCTGCTATTCCCCGAGCCCTGGACACCACCGGAGCGGCAGGAAAACACCCAGAGAGTGGCCAAAGGACCTGATGCTCCCACTGGACCCCCATTACTTGACATGCCTGCCTGTTACCTACCTATGTGAGTGCAATGTTACCAGTAAATCTGCCTGATTTTAACCGTCTACACTTAGAGTGGCGCTGCCGTCTCTCTTCTCTACCTATATTCGTTTTTCCTAATCTTTGTCAATAAAATCCATATCACAGAGACCGTGTCAGGGACAAAGCTGAAAACGAGCGCTTGTTCATAACCACTAAGGCTGGCCATACATTATACAATTTTCTTGAGAATTTTGCTTTAGATTTACCAAAAACCATATAATATGAGGTCAAAATTAAACAACACTTTCAATTGTATCCAATCAGGCGGGCCCTTGCACTACATAGCTGAAGGTAAATCTAAAGGAAATTGGGCAGAACCTGGACAGAAAATTGTATAATGTATGTCCAGCCTAAGTAACACAGACAGCTACACCACATACATACCTCGTGTGTGATTATGGTGCCGCCCTCACCTGCAGCCAAAGAAAGGACTCCTCCCAAACCAAGAAGTGAGTGAGGCAGAAAAGCAGGTTACATCCCGGTCATACATGCATCATAGACACAACATTGAAAGCACATGTACCAAAATTAAATGAATTCAAAACAACAAACGTGTGACGGTACATTTACCAATCGGGTATTTCTCTGTCACAATACACTGGTCCTATCATGCAGGTACTGAGCTTTATATATGTATATACAGTGGGGCAAAAAAGTATTTAGTCCCCACCAATTGTACAAGTTCTCCCACTTACAAAGATGAGAGAGGCCTGTAATTGGCATCATAGGGAGACCTCAACTATGAGAGACAAAATGAGAAAACAAATCCAGACAATCACATTGGCTGATCTGGAAAGAATTTATTTGCAAATTATGGTGGAAAATCAGTATTTGGTGAATATGAAAAGTTCATCTCAATACTTTGTTATATATCCTTTGTTGGCAATGACAGAGGTCAGACGTTTCCTGGAAGTCTTCACAAGGTTGGCACACACTGTTGCTGGTATGTTGGCCCATCCTCCATGCAGATCTCCTCTAGAGCAGTGATGTTTTGGGGCTGTCGCTGGGTAACACGGACTTTCAACTCCCTCCAAAGGTTTTCTATGGGGTTGAGATCTGGAGACTGGCTAGGCCACTCCAGGACCTTGAAATGCTTCTTACGAAGCCACTCCTTCGTTGCCCGGGCGGTATGTTTGGGATCATTGTCATGTTGGAAGACCCAGCCACGTTTCATCTTCAATGCCCTTGCTGATGGAAGGAGGTTTGCACTCAAAATCTCACAATACATGGCCCCATTCATTCTGTCCTGTACATGGAGCAGTCGTCCTGGTCCCTTTGAGGAGAAGCAGCCCCAAAGCATGATGTTGCCACCCCCATGCTTCACAGTAGGTATGGTGTTCTTTGGATGCAACTCAGCATTCTCTCTCCTCCAAACACGACGAGTTGTGTTTCTACCAAACAGTTCTATTTTGGTTTCATCTGACCATATGACATTCTCCCAATCCTCTTCTGGATCATCCAAATGCTCTCTAGCAAACTTCAGACGGGCCCGGACATGTACTGGCTTAAGCAGGGGGACACGTCTGGCACTGCAGGATCTGAGTCCCTGGCGGCGTAGTGTGTTACTGATGGTAGCCTTTGTTACGTTGGTCCCAGCTCTCTGCAGGTCATTCACTAGGTCCCCCCGTGTGGTCCTGGGATTTTTGCTCACCGTTCTTGTGATCATTTTGACCCCACGGGGTGCAGGACAGAGGAGCCTCTTAAAGAAGAAGGTACAGGTCTGTGAGAGCCAGAAATCTTGCTTGTTTGTAGGTGACCAAATACTTATTTTCCACCATAATTTGCAAATAAATTCTTTCCAGATCAGCCAATGTGATTGTCTGGATTTGTTTTCTCATTTTGTCTCTCATAGTTGAGGTCTCCCTATGATGCCAATTACAGGCCTCTCTCATCTTTGTAAGTGGGAGAACTTGTACAATTGGTGGCTGACCATATACTTTTTTGCCCCACTGTAGATGTATTAGCCGCTTTCCGTCCGTCCTGTAGCAGAAATACTGCTACAAGGCGGCACGGGTGCTCAACATCACGTGTGTGTGTGTGTATATATATATATATATATATATATATATATATATATATGTATATGTGAATTTGCATTTCAAGGTAGGGGGAGCACGTGCTCCGCCATTCATCTCCCGACTGTCAATCCCGGCCGGTGATTACCCTCTGGCCACCCGGTGATCGCTGAGGATTACCGACGGGGCAGAGACCTGCGTGTAAACAACACAGATCTCTCCCATCAGCTGCTACACACTGCTTTGTATGGCTCTGCATAGCATGTGTCTATATATGTGGTGTAGTTGTCTGTGTTACTTGGTGGGTATGTATAAGCGCTCGTTTTCAGCGTGAAATGCGTTGACCTCTTTGTCCCTGACACTGTCTGTGATATGGATTTTATCGATAAAGATTGAAGAGTGCAGCGGATTGCGGACGTTTTATGCCTTGTGGTGTTGCAGGGCTTTGTGTTTCATGTACCATTTAAATTTCTCCTTCAGACTTATCGAAGAATCGTTTCTCTGAAGTCCCCGGAGAGCTGTGTCAGCTGGTGTCCCTGGAATCCCTGAACCTCTATCACAACTGCCTACGTACCCTTCCCGCGTGCATCTCTCCAACCTACAGGCCCTCACCTACCTGAACATAAGGTGAGTGAACCATAGAACGTCCTGCTTACAACACTCTTTTATCCACACAGGATCCCCAATACCTGAGCCCAGTCCTTCTCAACCAAGGTTCTGTTGAATCCTAGGGTTCCTGCAAAGATTTCCAGGGTTCTCTTGAGCGTTAAGCCGATATCTTTTGTTTGATGGTAACTGCGTATTTTCTGAACCATATTCACCCGGCAGAGCCAGCATTTGCCTCTACGTATGCCTCTGACCACCAACAGGCATTTTACCCAGTAAGCATAAATTTAAGGGGTCACCAATGTAGGGGTCATTCTTTCCACCGAATGCCCATATATTGGGGTTTCATTTCACTGCCCACCAGTAAAAGAAGCCTTACTCCCATTGACCACCAATCTGAAAAGACAACTCTCCCACTAACCACCATAGTAAGGGAGGCCTTCTCCAATTATTAGCCCTTCTTCACTGACCACCAATGTTACTAGAGCTTTCTCAAATAACCACCAGTTCAAAGGGGCCTTCTCCAATTACTAGCAATGTAGGTGGCCCTTCTTCACTGATCACCAATGTAACTGGAGCTTTCTCAAATAACCACCAGTTCAAGGGGGGCCTTCTCCAATTACTAGCAATGTAGGTGGGCCTTCTTCATTGACCACCAATGTATATGGGGCCTTCTCTAATTACCACTAATGTAGGTTGGCCATCTCTGATGACAAATAATGTAGTGGGGCACTATAGGAACCATCATTTTAAGGGGGCACTTTTCCACAGAATACTAATGAAATTTTCACTGTCTGCATCTCTACTTAAGAAGTAGGTGGGCCTTCTCTACTGACCACCATTGTGAGGGGAGCCTTTCACACCAAAAACCAGTGTAGTGGATCATTACGTGAACCATCAATGTAAAGGGGATACTTTTCACAGACTATCAATATAGTTTTCACTGTCTGCATCTCATTTCTAAGAAGGAATCTCTCCCATTGACCACGAATGAAATGGGACCACTCTCCATTTACCAACAATGTAGGTGGGGCTTGCCCACTTGCCATCATTGTAGGCGGGGCTTGCCCACTTGCCATCATTGTAGGCGGGGCTTGTCCCCTTGCCATCATTGTAGGCGGGGCTTGTCCACTCGCCATCATTGTAGGCGGGGCGTGTCCCCTCGCCATCATTGTAGGCGGGGCGCGTCCCCTCGCCATCATTGTAGGCGGGGCTTGTCCCCCGGCCATTTTTGGCGGCGGGGCTTGTCCCCCGGCCATTATTGGCGGCGGGGCTTGTCCCCCGGCCATTATTGGCGGCGGGCCTTGTCCATCGGCCATTATTGGCGGCGGGCCTTGTCCATCATTATTGGAGGTGGGGCTCTTCCCCCGGCCGTTATTGGAGGTGGGGCTTGTCCCCCGGCCATTATTGGCGGCGGGGCTTGTCCCCCGGCCATTATTGTCGGCGGGGCTTGTCCCCCGGCCATTATTGTCGGCGGGGCTTGTCCCCGGCCATTATTGTCGGCGGGGCTTGTCCACCGGCCATTATTGGTGGCGGGCCTTGTCCATCGGCCATTATTGGAGGCGGGCCTTGTCCACCCGCCACCACTGTAACGGGGGTGGCCTTGTCCACCCGCCACCACTGTAACGGGGGGGGCCTTGCCCACCCGCCACCATTGTAACGGGGGGTCCAAACCTTGTCCTCCCACTATCTTTTTAACTGGGGGGGGGAACTTGTCCACCCACCACCAATGTAATGGGGGACCTCTCCACAGTGTGTGGGAGGGTCTTCTCTACTGACCACTGAGCTCTAAATGGACCACCATTGTTTGGACACTTTTCCACACACCTCCCATATTTCACTTCATTTTTTTTCCTAGCCATTATTAATTTTTTTGTTTACATTTTATGTTTATTACTGAGAATAACCTTGGTGTTCAATGCTCCACATTTTTATTTGTTATCCACCGCTGACTTGGATCATGCTATTATACTATGAGCTGTAGGTGTAATTATATTTAGCAGGGGTTTCCTGGGAACTGGGAATCATCGTTGGGGTTCCTCTATAGCCGAGATGGTCTAGGCCTGCAGGGCTCAGTAATGGTACATTTCATGCATCCTTCCAAAGAAATGAATGGGATGACTACATAAGTTAATGAAGGCAAAAGCAGTCATGGAATGTTGAAAGGGACCGGATAAAGTTCTCCCAGCTGACAGCATCCAGAGTCCTAATTAGTGAGTGCTAAGAAATATTTTGGTCCAGGGAGTTGACTGTCCTCGAGGATCAAGAAGGAATTTGGCAACAGTAGCAGAAGGAGGTTTTGTTTTGTGCAGAGAGATTGAACTGGGTGGCCCATCAGTATTTTTCAGCCCTAATTATGTCACTTCATTCTAAGTCCCTGCCACCCTCTGACTCATTCAGTGACTAGCTCTGCTGATGGGTGGTTAGCTGTCTGTATGTGTCTTCATACTCCAAGCATTTGTCAAATCATAATTTACATTATTTAGGTATATAACTCCGAGCCTTCAGTCTACTGTAGAGATCAGCAAGGAGCAAGGTCACCTGGAGGGATGGAGGGGATTCCTTCCAGGTATGCAAGCCAGAGTCCTTCGTCTTAGTGATCAGCAAGGAGCAAGGTCACCTGGAGGGATGGAGGGGATTCCTTCCAGGTATGCAAGCCAGAGCCCTTAGTCTTAGAGATCAGCAAGGACAAGGTCACCTGGAGGGATGGAGGGGATTCCTTCCAGGTATGCAAGCCAGAGCCCTTCGTCTTAGTGATCAGCAAGGAGCAAGGTCACCTGGAGGGATGGAGGGGATTCCTTCCAGGTATGCAAGCCAGAGCCCTTAGTCTTAGAGATCAGCAAGGACAAGGTCACCTGGAGGGATGGAGGGGATTCCTTCCAGGTATGCAAGCCAGAGCCCTTAGTCTTAGTGATCAGCAAGGAGCAAGGTCACCTGGAGGGATGGAGGGGATTTCTTCTAGGAATGCAAGCCAGAGTCCCAGGCTTCAAAGAGTCCATTATCGAAGGGTCCATCACAAGTGACCCTATAAGATGCACCCCCAGCCTCACAAATGACCCTATAAGATACACCCCCAGCCTCACAGATGACCCTATAAGATGCACCCCCAGCCTCACAGATGACCCTATAAGATACACCCCCAGCCTCACAAGTGACCCTATAAGATACACCCCCAGCCTCACAAGTGACCCTATAAGCTATACCCCCAGCCTCACAAGTGACCCTATAAGATATACCCCCCGCCTCACAAGTGATCCTATAAGATATACCCCCGGCCTCACAAGTGACCCTATAAGATATACCCCCGGCCTCACAAGTGACCCTATAGGATATACCCCCGGCCTCACAAGTGACCCTATAAGATATACCCCCGGCCTCACAAGTGACAAGTGATCCTATAAGATGGAGGGGATTCCTTCCAGGTATGCAAGCCAGAGCACTTAGTCTTAGAGATCAGCAAGGAGCAAGGTCACCTGGAGGGATGGAGGGGATTTCTTCTAGGAATGCAAGCCAGAGTCCCAGGCTTCAAAGAGTCGATCATCGAAGGGTCCATCAATCGGAGGAGGGATCAAAACCTTCAGTGTGAACCTAGCTTTAGACAGTAAGGATGACCAGGGAGGAGAGGTAAGGGCTTAAAAAATAAGCACCGATCCATCAAAGTCGCATAGAAATGCTTATTACCTTGCTGATGCAACTTCTAAAGGTGGATTAAAGTCACACTGTGTCTGTATGTGTCTTCATACTCCAAGCATTTATGTCAAACAAATCACAATTGACATTATTTAGGTTTATAACTACGAGCCTTCAGTCTACTGTAGAGATCAGCAAGGAGCAAGGTCACCTGGAGGGATGGAGGGGATTCCTTCTAGGAGTGCAAGCCAGAGTCCTTAGTCTTAGTGATCAGCAAGGAGCAAGGTCACCTGGAGGGATGGAGGGGATTCCTTCTAGGAATGCAAGCCAGAGTCCCAGGCTTCAAAGGGTCGATCATCAAAGGGTCCATCAATCGAAGGAAGTATCAAAACCTACAGTGTGAACCTAGCTTTAGACAGTAAGAATGACCAAGGAGGAGAGGTAAGGGCTTAAAAAATAAGCACCGATCCATCAAAGCCGCATAGAAATGCTTCTTACCTTGATGATGCAACTTCTAAAGGTGGATTAAAGTCACACTGCATAGTCCTACTGTAAATCGAATGAAAATTCCATTAGAAAAATGGAGAGTGATATTGGGAAAACGCAATGCAAACGCAACAAAAACGAGGTAAAGACGCCTGCATTTTTGATAGAGCAGTGTGAAAGTTGCTTAAGAATGTATATCGGGGGGGGGATGCAGGGGGGGTCCTTCTAGGTATATATACCAGAGACCCCAGTCTACTAAAGAGATCAGCAAGGATGAAGTACATCTGGAAGGATGCAGGGGGTCCTTCTAGGTATACAAGCCGGGGACCCCAGTCTACTACAGAGATCAGCAAGGATGAAGTCCATCTGGAGAACATTGAAGTTGTTCTTTTTCTCATGAACTTCCTGTCCTTGTTTCCACAGCCGAAACCTCCTCACCTGTCTACCCCCCTACCTCTGTCGTCTTCCTCTCACCGTCCTCATCGCCAGTAATAACAAGCTGAACACCATTCCAGAGGAGGTGGGCGCCATGACCAACCTGCGGCAGCTGGTGAGTAGCCTGTTGGGTGAGATGTACGGACTGACCTGCCGGCTGAATGGAGGAGGGGAATTGCATGCCATTGCTTTACTGTTGAAGTGGTAGGACGTGGCGGGATGTAGGTGGGAGCCATGTGTAGGACATGAGACCTCCTGTACATGTCTGTGTGGAAGAAGTTACCTGTCCATCTTACAGTGACCCTTAAAAAAAATAATTGAGTTGCCAGACTCTTGTACTTGGAGGTATTACCATTTTGGGGGCCTGTATCTCCTGAATTCCCTCTATCCCAGCACTGCAGCTTCCGTCGGACCCTGTCTTAGGGGAATCTTGCACATAGTCGATCCTCGTGTGCATCTCTGGATGAGCTGACTCGGCATTTGTACAGAGAGCTCACAGCCACCAGTATATCAGTCAGTGCCCTGCTGGTTCTGTCCGTCCTTCCACTACTAATCACTGACCTGGACCACATGCACATACGATGTCTTCACTGGCCACATGCACATACGATGTCTTCACTGGCCACATGCACATACGATGTCTTCACTGGCCACATGCACATACGATGTCTTCACTGGCCACATGCACATACGATGTCTTCACTGGCCACATGCACATACGATGTCTTCACTGGCCACATGCACATACGATGTCTTCACTGGCCACATGCACATACGATGTCTTCACTGGCCACATGCACATACGATGTCTTCACTGGCCACATGCACATACGATGTCTTCACTGGCCACATGCACATACGATGTCTTCACTGGCCCACATGCACATACGATGTCTTCACTGGCCCACATGCACATACGATGACTTCACTGGCCCACATGCACATACGATGACTTCACTGGCCCACATGCACATACGATGTCTTCACTGGCCCACATGCACATACGATGACTTCACTGGCCCACATGCACATACGATGACTTCACTGGCCCACATGCACATACGATGTCTTCACTGGCCACATGCAAATACGATGACTTCACTGGCTCACATGCACATACGATGACTTCACTGGCTCACATGCACATACGATGACTTCACTGGCAACATGCACATACGATGACTTCACTGGCAACATGCACATACGATGACTTCACTGGCCACATGCACATACGATGACTTCACTGGCCACATGCACATACGATGACTTCACTGGCCACATGCACATACGATGACTTCACTGGCCACATGCACATACGATGTCTTCACTGGCCACATGCACATACGATGTCTTCACTGGCCACATGCACATACGATGACTTCACTGGCTCACATGCACATACGATGTCTTCACTGGCCACATGCACATACGATGTCTTCACTGGCCACATGCTTGTTACATGTCAGTGACTTACAATGTAGCAAAGAATACAAGTGACCTCAAAGCTGCTTATATCATGTCCTCCCTGGTCCCCCCTTCATCAACATACTATTTGTAAAGGAAACGGTTTCTCTTTTGATTCCATAACTTATTTTATAACGGGTGACTTCATCACTGGGTCTCTATACTTCTCTATGCAGACAGATCATTGCTGGTGGGAGGGGCCAGCAGGGTGCTGTACATGGCTTCCTGAAAACATCACAGCATCCTCACTCGGGCCCTCAGACGTAATGCAAGCAGTGGGAGGAGTTATGCAAGTATTTAAAGTCATTGATGAATAGGTGTCATTCTGGAGTGGGTGTTCCTAGGCAGACTGGATTTGCATGCAGACCACATGTGTGCTAAACCTCCATGATTCACAGAACTGAAATCCAGGGAAGGTGCGGGGCCAGGGACAGTCAGGCTGGGGAGGAAAGAGCTAGATGAGGCTGGACGTCCTCCAGCCAGGAAATGAGGCGGTGCTCTGATTGGCTGTGACTTCTAATGCACATTGTGAGAAGCTCACAGTGTGCAGTGAAATCGGAGTAAGCCATTTAAATCTAGGAGAGGAGCTGGTACACCTGTACAAGATGGAGGGGAGGAGCCGGTACACCTGTGCATGACTGGAGGGGAGGAGCCGGTACACCTGTGCATGACTGGAGGGGAGGAGCCGGTACACCTGTGCATGACTGGAGGGGAGGAGCCGGTACACCTGTGCATGACTGGAGGGGAGGAGCCGGTACACCTGCGCAAGACTGGAGGGAAGGAGCCGGTAGACCTGCGCAAGACTGGAGGGGAGGATCCGGTACTCCTGCGCAAGACTGGAGGGGAGGATCCGGTACTCCTGCGCAAGACTGGAGGGGTGGAGCCGGTACTCCTGCGCAAGACTGGAGGGGAGGAGCCGGTACGCCTGCGCAAGACTGGAGGGGAGGAGCCGGTACTCCTGCGCAAGACTGGAGGGGAGGAGCCGGTACTCCTGCGCAAGACTGGAGGGGAGGAGCCGGTACTCCTGCGCAAGACTGGAGGGGAGGAGCCGGTACTCCTGCGCAAGACTGGAGGGGAGGAGCCGGTACTCCTGCGCAAGACTGGAGGGGAGGAGCCGGTACTCCTGCGCAAGACTGGAGGGGAGGAGCCGGTACTCCTGCGCAAGACTGGAGGGGAGGAGCCGGTACTCCTGCGCAAGACTGGAGGGGAGGAGCCGGTACTCCTGCGCAAGACTGGAGGGGAGGAGCCGGTACTCCTGCGCAAGACTGGAGGGGAGGAGCCTGTAAGGGGAGGAGCCGGTACACCTGTGCAAGACTGGAGGGGAGGAGCCGGTACTCCTGCGCAAGACTGGAGGGGAGGAGCCTGTACACCTGCGCAAGACTGGAGGGGAGGAGCCGGTACACCTGCGCAAGACTGGGGGGGAGGAGCCTGTACATCTGCGCAAGACTGGAGGGGAGGAGCCGGTACACCTGCGCAAGACTGGAGGGGAGGAGCCGGTACACCTGTGCAAGACTGGAGGGGAGGAGCCGGTACTCCTGCGCAAGACTGGAGGGGAGGAGCCTGTACACCTGCGCAAGACTGGAGGGGAGGAGCCGGTACACCTGTGCAAGACTGGAGGGACGGCTTCATGTCACCTGTAGCAGCCGTATTCCTGTCTTCATGGTTCTCCTTATTAATGTGCGTTTTATATTTTCCCAGGCTCCCTGTAATGATTGGCAGCCGTGTGATTTCTGCACGACTCGTAGTCATTAGTATAGGCAACAGCCGGGCAGGAAAAGTGCAGACAGGTGTCAGAGTTGTGATCAGCAGGATTGGCTGAGACTGGCAACAGCTGGGCAATAAAGGTACAGAGGCAGCAGGTACAGTCCTAGTCATCAGGACTGGCAACAATGGGGCAGCAAATTGCAGAGGTAGCAGGCAAGATTGGCAACAACTGGGCAATAGAAATTGCAGAGATAACAGACCTAGTTTTAATTGGCAGGATTGGCAGAAATCTGGGAAGAGAAGTGCAGAGGCAGCAGGCAGGCATGATTGGCAACAAATGGGCAGCGAAAGTTCAGAAGCAGCAGATTTGTGGTCCGCAGGACTAACGGAGATTGGCAACAATCGGCCAACAGGCAGAGTCATAGTCCGCAGTATTGGCAACAATCTGGCAAAAAATTTGCAGAGGCAGGTGACAGAGTTGTGGTCCGTACAATTGGCTGAGAATAGCAACAACTGGGCGATAAAAGTGCAGAGCCAACAAAGTTGTAGTCAGCAGGCGTTATGGTGGTCCGGATTGGCAATGCTCGGGCAACAAAAGTTCAGAAGCAACAGAGAGACTTGTAGTCAGCAAGATTGGCAACGATTGGGCAACTAAATTGCAGAAGTATCAGGCAGATTTATGGTCAGCAGGAATGAGATTGGCAACAATTGGGCAAGAAATCTGCAGAGTGGCTGAGTTGTGGTCAGCAGGATTGGCTGAGATTGGCAGTGATTGGGCAATAAAGGTGCATAGGCAGCAGGCAGAGTTGTAGTCAGTAGGATTGGCAAAAAAAAGCGCAGAGACGGCAGGCAGAGTCACAATCAGCAGGATTAGCAACAATGGGGAAACAAAATTGCAGCTGCATCAGGCAGAATTGTGGTCAGCAGGATTGGCAACGATCGGGCAACAAATGTACAGAGGCAGCGGACTGAGTCGTAGTCAACAAGACTGGCAACAGTTGGGCAACAAAAGTGCAGAGGCAGCAGGCAGAGTCTTAGCCAGCAGGACCGGCAGCCTCGGCAGCAGGCAGACCCATGGTTTGTAGGAATGGTAATGATCATGCAACAAAAGTGCAGGGGCAGCAGAGTCATAGTCCGCAGGATTGGCAACAATCAGCCAATAAAAAGTGTAAAGGCAGCAGAAGAAGTCCTAGTCAGCAGGATTGGTAACAGGTGGACAAGAAGAGCCATGGTCAAAGGAGCATTGTAGAGGCTGGTCATTATCAAGCGGGGTCAGTAACAGGAGACGGTAATAGATCACAGGTGATAGGTGAAGACCACACCGCACAGAGTTCAGACAGATCTTTGCCTCAACAGCTCATCTGGAGCCAACATGAGCACCAATGGCAAGCAAACCGGCAGGTTTATGGATGACGACACACACCCATCAGTGCACCCTGACATGCATGCATGTACAGCGCCTTGAAAAAGTCTTCTTCCCCCTCGAAATGTTCTCCATGTTGTCATGTTACAACCAATGTATTTTATTGGGATTGGATGTGATGGACCGACACAAAGCGGCACATCATTGTGAAGTGGAAGGAAAATGAGAAATGGTTTTCAATTTTTTTTTTTACAAATTAAATCTGTGAAAAGTGTGGCGGGCATTTGTATTCAGCGCCCTTTACTCAGATACCCCTAACTAAAATCTAGTGGAACCAATTGCCTTCATTAGTCACCTAGTTAGTAAATAGAGTCCCCCTGTGTGTCATGTAATCCCAGTATAAATCCAGTTGTTCTGTGAAGCCCTCAGAGGTTTGTTAGAGGACATTAATGAACAAATAGCATCATGAAGGCCAAGGAACACATCAGACAGGTCAGGGATAAAGTCGTGGAGAAGTTTAAAGCAGGGTTAGGTTATAAAAAATCTCCCAAGCTTTGAACATCTCACAGAGCACTGTTCAATCCATCATCCGAAAATGGGACAACTGCACACCTACCAAGACATGGCCGTCCACCTAAACTGACAGGCCGGGCAAGGAGAGCATTCATCAGAGAAGCAGCCAAGAGCCCATGGGAACTCTGGAGGAGCTGCAGAGATCACAGCTCAGGTGGGAGAATCTGTCCACAGGACAACTATTAGTCATGTACTCCACAAATCTGGCCTTTATGGAAGAGTGACAAGAAGAAAGCCATTGTTGGAGGAAAGCCAGAAGAAGTCCCGTTTGCAGTTTGTGAGAAGCCATGTGGGGGACACAGCAAACATGTGGAAGAAGGGGCTCTGGGCAGAGGAGACCAAGATTAAAATTTTTGGCATAAAAGCAAAACACTATGTGTGGGGGAAAACTAACACTGCACATCACCCTAAATACACCATCCCCACCGTGAAACATGGTGGTGGCAGCATCATGTGGTGGGGATGCTTTTCTTCAGCATGGACAGGGAAGCTGGTCAGAGTTGAGGGGAAGATGGATGGAGCCAAATACAGGTCAATCTTGGAAGAAAAACCTGTTAGAATCTGCAAAAGACTTGAGACCGGGGCGGAGGTTCCCTTCCAGCAGGACAACAACCCGAAACATCCAGCCTGAGCTACAATGGAATGGTTCAGATCAAAGCATCTTCATGTGTTAGAATGGCCCAGTCACAGTCCAGACCCAAATCCAATGGAGAATCTGTGGCCAGACCTGAAAATTGCTGTTCCCAGACACCCTCCATCCAATCTGACAGCTTGAGTGATTCTGCAATGAAGAATGGGAAGAAATGTCCCTCTCTAGATGTGCAAAGAGACATCCCCAAAAAGACTTGCAGCTGGAATTGCAGTCAAAGGGGGTCCTACAAAGTATTGACTCCGGGGGGCCGAATACAAATGTCCCCCACACTTCTCACAGATTTATTGGTCACAAATGTTGGAAATCATTTCTCATTTTCCTTCCACTTCACAAATATGTGCCACTTTGTGTCGGCCTATCACATCCAATCGCAATAAATACATTGTAACATGACAACGTGGGGGGGGGGGATACATTGTAACATGATAACATGGGGGGGGGGGGAATACATTGTAACATGACAACATGGGGGGAATACATTGTAACATGATAACATGGGGGGGGGAATACATTGTAACATGTAACAACATGGGGGACATTTCAGGGGGATACATTGTAACATGACAACATGGGGGACATTTCACGGGGATACATTGTAACATGACAACATGGGGGACATTTCAGGGGGAATACATTGTAACATGACAACATGGGGGACATTTCAGGGGGAAATACATTGTAGCATGACAACATGGGGGACATTTCAGGAGGGAGGGGAATACATTGTAACATGACAACATGGGGGACATTTCAGGGGGATACATTGTAACATGACAACATGGGGGACATTTCAGGGGGATACATTGTAACATGACAACATGGGGGACATTTCAGGAGGGAATACATTGTAACATGACAACATGGGGGACATTTCAGGGGGAATACATTGTAGCATGACAACATGGGGGACATTTCAGGGGGAATACATTGTAACATGACAACATGGGGGACATTTCAGGAGGGAATACATTGTAACATGACAACATGGGGGACATTTCAGGGGGATACATTGTAACATGACAACATGGGGGACATTTCAGGGGGATACATTGTAACATGACAACATGGGGGACATTTCAGGGGGAATACATTGTAACATGACAACATGGGGGACATTTCACGGGGATACATTGTAACATGACAACATGGGGGACATTTCAGGGGGAATACATTGTAACATGACAAACATGGGGGACATTTCAGGGGGAATACATTGTAGCATGACAACATGGGGGACATTTCAGGGGGATACATTGTAACATGACAACATGGGGGACATTTTCAGGGGGATACATTGTAACATGACAACATGGGGGACATTTCAGGGGGATACATTGTAACATGACAACATGGGGGACATTTCAGGAGGGAATACATTGTAACATGACAACATGGGGGACATTTCAGGGGGAATACATTGTAGCATGACAACATGGGGGACATTTCAGGGGGAATACATTGTAACATGACAACATGGGGGACATTTCAGGGGGAATACATTGTAACATGACAACATGGGGGACATTTCAGGAGGGAATACATTTTAACATGACAACATGGGGGACATTTCAGGGGGATACATTGTAACATGACAACATGGGGGACATTTCAGGGGGATACATTGTAACATGACAACATGGGGGACATTTCAGGAGGGAATACATTGTAACATGACAACATGGGGGACATTTCAGGAGGGAATACATTGTAACATGACAACATGGGGGACATTTCAGGGGGATACATTGTAACATGACAACATGGGGGACATTTCAGGGGGATACATTGTAACATGACAACATGGGGGACATTTCAGGAGGGAATACATTGTAACATGACAACATGGGGGACATTTCAGGGGGATTACATTGTAACATGACAACATGGGGGACATTTCAGGGGGAATACATTGTAACATGACAACATGGGGGACATTTCAGGGGTGTGAAGACTTTTTCAAGGCCCTGTATCTGCTTGGTGATATAATAACACGCGGCCTGTCATGACTTTCCTGACACAACCTCACTCTATGCAAAACTGCAAAAACCACCAAATGTGGGTGTCGGGTAAATCGGAGGTTGGGGTGTATCTGGCTCCTCTCTCTGATGGTAGGGTATGATACAAGTCAGGTTGTCAGGCGGGTGTTGTGTATAGATGGGGGAGGGGGGGTTGTGGTGGAGCCGTCAGTGGCTCTCTCTGATCAGCGGAAGATGTTGGCTCATTCTGCTCAGCGGGATTGTGTAATCTCAGGTTTCCTGCTCTTACTATGTGCGAGTCTCTCCCCCCTCCCCTCCTCCTCCATACTTCATTATGGGTATAGTGAGCATGCCCCCCCCCCCGTTTCCT